CATTTTTCGGGTAATATTAAACAATGTCTTTCAGTTATTCTCTTAGTTATACTATTTGACTAATGGCATTTGGTTGGCTTTTGTGACAATAAATTGACTTCATATGCATCTATAAATGGTGTGACCTTACATTTGACAGAGCTGTCAACTTGTGGATCTGTTAATTATATTGGTGTTCATTTTCAGGACCAAGCACAAAAAACCTTTCAAAGAATAAACATGTTGCTTTACATTTCTCCCACTTTAACTTTTGGATCATAAATGTTCGTAATGTCTTTATAGGTTTACACGCAGTCTTTCTATTGAACGTAGTTGACACAAACATGCAAAGTTGAATCAACGCTTTAAGTAACCATTTATGGTATTTATTTATCCCTTGGTATTTTTATTGACAGATATACAGAAACAAACATGAAAGGAATTTTACCAAGTAATAACGGTTGAAAAAAAATTGGCTATCGTTCATTTTACTCACTTATGCTAAATTATTGGCAAAGACTATAATTTCATTTATAGTGCAATATATTTCGGGAGTTTCCCTCGCTTAACGTCTTTATTGACCCCGCCTTCAATAATGGCCAACCTCGCTCAAGTATACATCTCAGTATTTTACCATTTTACGCGCCGCTCGGTCGTCAAGGTGTTCCTGCTCGAGCAACACAGGGTGACTCCCGCTCTCGCCACCAAAACCAACCATTATTGAACCGAGCAAATAATTTCTTCCTCTCCTTTCATATAACAACTATAAAAATGAATATGGCTTGCAGAACTTCAGTTTGCCGTCCACGAATGTATTATTAGCGCTGTTATGATACCAGCTATCACTGCATAATAAATTCAAATACAATCGTACAATGGCGTGACTTAATTAAAGTTTCATCTGGCTCCTTACAGACCGCAGAAGCAAGCAAAAGAAATGGTCGACTGAGAATCCATTTGACCATTTGGACTGTTTAACTTCCAAAGGAGGCAAATTGCTCCGATAACTTCTCCTACAGTAGTTGGTTACTTTTGCGTTAATTTGTTTGAAATATTCGACTTCCTCGTGAAAATCCGCCCCCTGATCGTTGATTATTTTTGTTAGCCTCTTAGAATAGTGGGAATATAGGCGGCGATTAACGTTGGTGAAATTTGACAATAATTTATCCAACTCCTTGTCACTGCTTTCTGTACGGTTTCTCTTGCGATTTATCATACGCTTGGTATATAGGATATCTTTCAGATCCCAGCAAAGCTCACGTTTTAAGAAAACGAGGCATTCGTCGAGATGTTCTATTAAAATTACGAAATTATATCGTCTGTCTAAAAAATCTATGTATTTCATTATTTCTGTCTCATTGTCCGAATTCTGTTCCCGGAAACCACCTAAAAACTGCGCCATGTTGTTTCTGCGCATACCCACTGGTATTGAACTTCCGACCTTTCTTTTCCATTCATTGATAAATTTCGGAGAATCCCGAATATATTCCAACATATGATTATCAGTCTTGTATGTAAAGACTGGGTCTGTCCTTTTCTTGTAGTATGAAAATGCAGATCGAAATTGAGTAAAGGGTTCTCTAAGAAGCCCGATGAAATACGTGTCTTCGTGCATTACTGCAAGAAAATGGCTGTCACTGTACTTCACATGATGAAGAATCATATCAAATTTTGGTTTATCAAGGCTAGGTCCGAAGACGTCTCTTTTTCCTGCCACAGTCAAGTTGTTAAGAAATGCAAATCTCATGAATATATTAAAGACCGTAGTGGAACCACATTTGTGGACCTTCCGAACAACCACATGAGTTCGGGGTTGACATTGATTCCGCCTGGTCATTTCGAGCAGACGATTTTCTTCGTATTTTCTGAGAAAAGATGCATTCGCCGCCGATGGTGTCGTCCAGTTACTTGGTAAACCGCTTCATCATTGAAACAGAAGACAGAAAAAACAATCACACAAAAACATTTTCTATCTAAGAAATCATTCTGATACTAATCTAAGGGCAATAAATATATTATAGTTACATGTTTAATATCCGTGATTTTCCCACGAAATGGATGTTTTGTACTATTTCTGATGAAACAGCTGAATGATTCATTTACACCGCCATGTCGTACTGGTATTTCAAAAGGAAATCTCGACATCAGGTACAAGTAATTATAGCGTTTTATCGTTTTTGAAGGTCGAAACTGGGGCATATGATTAAGTTTATTTTCCGGATGGGCGAGACCAGACAAGTTGGCCACGTTAGACACTTCTGTTCTTTTTCAGTCAACTGGGAACAAGAAATAATGCAACAAAACCGGTTTTAGGACTAGCGCCAAGGATTGAGCTACAAATGCAATGCCATTGATTTGCAAGTGCACATGATTTAGCCTACAATTTGACAAGACACACCCCATGACAGGTGGGGCAGGTACGAATATTATACGTATTGCAGTCAGCAATATTTTACATTTGCTTTGAAGAAAAAAAATAAGAGCCCAAATAACTATGAATCAACCAGGGTTCAACTTGCCCCGAGCCAAGTGGTCCAACAAACCCCTGGTGCACATTTTTATTCTACAGTCAGTCAGATGCAAAAAACGGTTCATTTGGACTCATATTTTCGTTCAAGGAAACGGTTTTTCACGATCAACGATTCCATGGTATTGTGGGATTTGGTGAAGGTACAAGATCAAATTTTGTACAACATAGGATATTTTTGGACAAGAGGCCAGGGACCAGCTTACCCCAGCGTCCAACTAACTGCGGTATCCCGGCCTAAGTGAAAAAAGTGAATTTTGGAACATTTTCAAAAGCGTGCAGTATACCTTACACATTGCCAACTTATAATTTTCAAAGCTGCCTCTGTACCTTCTGTATTTTCTCATCGTACTAGGTACCATGTAACATGTAAATACGATATTTTACCTTTGCAAGATAACACTCATCTCGGCGTCTGTATTCTCCAGTGTCCTATGGTACACGACCGGACGTGAGAAAGTTTTACTGGTTGTGGTAGTTATCACATAAACCACAGTGATTAAACCCACCGCTAAAATAACGATAAGCATATACAACTGAAGGCGACCAACAGATATTGTCCTGTAACACTGCTCAGCCATTGGTAGTTAGAGTTCATGCAATCCAAAAATGTGTAGAACAATTAGTTTTAAATGTGCCTTGAAGAAACTCACTGATTGCTTTATAAAGTCATAAAATTACCCATGTACACGTATGAGAGATACTTCACACACCTTGGGTTGCGTTCACAATTAACCTATCGTAGTAGCTGGTGCGCACTCACTCAACGTACGGGAACTCTTGCTGAATGCAACCAGATTAACACGCTTCTTCTTGTTTCTAAAGTACTTGTATAATCACCAGAATTTTTGTATTCTATTCAACTCGAGGAGGCGTGTTCATGTGGTTGCATTCGACGAGAGTCCCCGTACGTGGAGTTAGTGCGTACTTAACTGGCTCGATGGATTCATTGTGAACACAGCCTTCGCGCCTCTTAATTCACAGCTGTCACATAGTGCTATGTCTAATTTAGCAGTGAGCGTTTTCACAAGATGCAGGAAAGCCACCATTCTCATCTCTTCTAACATGCTTTATTTACACTCTTGCTGGAAATGGTGGAATATTTGAAAAGAAGTTTACATATGTGATTCCAGTCATGCTCAACCAATACAAAATACATCATTCAACCAGTTCATTATTTTTATGATTTATACAGTGGATATTTTTGTTTATCCGATAGAGCAACGTCACGTAAGAGAAATAGAAATCTAATACTGGACTTATGAACCTGATAACGATGCGGTACCGATCGCAATGTGTTATATATTGATGAGGGAAATTATTTAATTAAAAACTTGGCTTATAGAATAGAACTGGAAATTGTCTACTGCACCTTCATTGTTTTCATTTTTAAAAAATCTTTGCAATCATTGCCAAGCGGCAATTAAATAACACGCACAAACAGGAGAGAAACTGCACCAGTGGCAGATTTAGAGGGGGTCAGCGGGGTCCTGAGCCCCTCCCCCCCTTCGGTTTCTGAAAATATCACACTAATAGTCATAGTAAAAAAAGTAACCTATCTAGGAACGCTCCGTGTCAGTTTCTCAAATAAGTGCTCATGTGCATGAATATTGATGAACTTTAACAACGTTGATGATAATACCATGTTTGCATACTCTCGATGCGCGGGATGAAATGCATATGTACGGCTCACGGCCTATTGATTGTTATGGCAACATATACATGAACAGCCCAAATGGCCCTCTCTGTGAGAAAGGAGAAAGTTTTCATTTGATCCACACCCTTCCAACGAAGCTGCTATGGCTTCGTGGTAACTCGGCCGTCTTGTAAACAGCTAAACACAGATAGACGCGGGTTCGAATCCTTAAATTTACAATGTGATTGTTTTGCTCGAAATAATTTCTAAAATTTGCGTTTGATTTCTATAAGAAGAAACTCGTAAGTACGTAGGATGGGCGGTTCAGTCACGGCGCAGGCGGTATCGTGCTTGGTTGCAAAAATTACCAAGTCATAAGCAAACCATGGTGACGGCAAGTCACCAGCTCAAATCCCAGATGACGCACGCCAGTTCACCACAAGAACGAGCTGGTCCCACAATCGAAAACCAATGCAGGCATTCGTGTGTCCGAGCAAATTCCCTTTTGTATAATTTGGTATCCGGTATAATGACCTCCGCCAAGGAGGTTATGTTTTCACGTCTGTTTGTCTGTTTGTCTGTCTGTCATCAACATAAATCAGAAAGTTATGGACCGATTTTGATGAAATTTTCAGGAACTGTCAGAAGTGGGCAAAGAGATTATTAGTTTTTGGTGGTGATCCAGATCAATAATCATTCAATAATCAATAATCAAAAATTAATCATCAACATAACTCAAAAAGTTATGGACCGATTTTGATGAAATTTTCAGGGTAGGTCAGAAATGGGATAATTTAGAAGTGATTAGTTTTTGGTGGTGATCCGGATCAATATTTGCAAAACCAAAATATTCAGTTTGTGAATGCTTTTAGCACGCTTTTATAATTGTATCCGACACTACAATGTGTAACTACTTCAAATACTATTGCATAATGGCCAGTCACTTTCAATTTTCAGTACTTCTACAATACACCTGGGAATATTTTCGCCTTCACTGCGTTTCCCATCCAGGAAAAAGAAGTTTCGTTTGAGCAATTGCAAAATTCAGGAACCAGCAAAAGAGGTAGTCTACTGAGAATCCATTTGACCATTTTGACTGCTTTACTACTAGAGGAGGCAAATTGTACTGTAAACTCTTATTACAGTAGTTCGTTACTTTTGGGTTAATTCTTTTGAAATATTGGACTTCCTCTTGAAAATCCACTCCCTGGTCGTTGATTATTTTTGAAAGTCTGTCAGAAAAGTGAGAATATAGGCGGCGATTAACGTTGGTAAAATTTGACAATAACTTCTCCAACTGCTTGTCATTGGTTTCTGTAGGGTCTATAGGGCGATAAACCATACGATTGGTATATAGGATATCTTTCAGATCCCAGCAAAGTGCACGTTTTAAGAAAACAAGGCATTCGTCGAGATGTTCTATTAAAATTACGAAATCATATCGTCTGTCTAAAAAATCTATGTATTTTATTATTTCTCTCTCATTGTCCGAATCACTTTCCCGGAAACCACCTAAAAACTGCGCCATGTTGTTTCTGCGTAGACCGGGTAGCATTGAACTTCCGACCTTTCTTTTCCATTCATTGATAAATTTAGGATAATCCTGGACATATTCCAACATGTGATTACCAGTCTTGTACGTTAAGACTGGGTCTGTCCTTTTCTTGTAGTATGAAAATGCAGATCGAAATTGGGAAATGGGTTCTCTAAGAAGCCCGATGAAATACGTGTCTTCGTGCATTACTGCAAGAAAATGGCTGTCACTGTACTTCACATGATGAAGAATCATATCAAATTTTGGTTTATCAAGGCTAGGTCCGAAGACGTCCCTTTTTCCGGCCACGGTCAAGTTATTAAGAAATGCAAACCTCACGAATATATTAGAGACCGTAGTGGAACCACATTTGTGGACCTTCCGCACAACCACATGAGTTCGGGGTTTGCAGTGATTCCGCCGCGCCATTTCTAGCAGACGATTTTGTTCTCTTTTCCTGAAGGAAGATATATTTGCCACCGTAATGTTGATCCGGTTACTTGGTAAGCCGCTTCATCATTGAATCAGAAGAAAAAAAACGCAATTAATAAGCAGAAAACGTTTTATTCTATCTGCAAAATCGGTAATATTTTACGGACAATAAATATATTATAGGTACATGTATACTATCCATGATTTTTGCACCAAATCTTCTTTGTACTATTTCTAATGACACAACTTCAAGATTTATTCAGACTGTCACTTGAGAAGGATCGACATCAGTTACTTTTATTTTATCAACTTTAAGGTCTGAATTGCAATAGAGAAGTAGCTTTTCACTATATTTATATATTTCAGTATAAACACACACATTTCATATTCTTGGCCAAAAAGACTTTCCCACCTTTAGTCACATGCGCTTTTGTTAACAACTGATCACATGACAGCGACAAACCGTTCAGAATAGTGATTTTTTAATTTTTTTCATATACAGTATTTAACATGATTTAGGCTTGAATAGAATATTTTCTTTACCTCAAGTCATGTTAAAGGCACGAATAATAGCATTTAAAACGTATTTTAAGTACATGGGTTGCTTCTTGTTGAATTTATTTGAGAACAATTAAACGTATATACATGAAATGATAGATAAATGCCTTAATAATCAATATCGCATATTATCACATTCACCCATCCTTTTCAAATCTTGGTAGTCAGACATCTTGACAGAGTTAAGCATCTTCTTCCATATGTTGCCTTTTCCCACCAACACGAACTGGTTTTAACCAGGTCACAGAACGAGAGTCTCGCGATATCCTAAAGTCTAGAGAGCTCAAGCATGTTAATGGCCTCCATACTTGACAACCCATTGCAGAAGCGTGGGTTATGATTAGTTGCTTTTTTCCCAAAAGTTTTACTAGGTAATGGAGATTGTCAATTGCGGAAATGTCCCGTTTACCCCGGGATGATTCGTCAAATATGAATTCTGGCGCAAAATCCTTTTATGTGTACCTTTAAATTTGTTATAGCGACTAAAAACCCTTTTTTAAAGCAGTTAACAGCTGTCACGCAATCATTTGCAAACAAAAGCACATAACGCTAAGGTGAGACAACTTTTTTGACCAAGGGTGCATATAGACTAAAATGGCCTACGTGGAAAATATCAATTTGGGACATTTCCAGAAGCGAATAGCATACCTAACATAATGTCAGCTTATGCTTTCCAAAGCTGCTTCTCTGCTTACACATGTTTAACACACCAGAAAAAAGATGGCACTACAGTACCATGTAATAAACGTTATGTACCTTGTCAAGATAGCGCTCGTCTTCACGGCTGTTTTCCCCCATGTCCTGTGGTACATGTACGCAGCAGGAGGTGATAAAGTTTTTCTGCTTGTGGTGGTTATTACATAGATCACAGTGAGTAAAACCATCGCTAAGGTGATGATGAGTATAAACAGCTGATGGTGGCCATCAAGAATTGGCCTGTAAGACTTCCCAGCCATTGGTCGTTAGAGTTCATGTACATCACCCCGTGTAGGGTGTCATATACTTTGAAATATCACTGATAGTTTTTCATAAATAAAAAAAAACAAAAATGCCACAAGCACAGAGTGGATGGATAATAAGATATTGTGTATATTCACAGCTGTTACACAGAGTAATATCTAATATAAATACAACTGACGTAGAGCAGTGATGTGCTTTCCTATCCATTCTCTGCTGTCATTATTTATTTACATTCTCGCTAAAATGGTGGAATATTTTAAAAGAATATTACATCTGTGATTCCAGTACGGCCCAACTACATCACGCAACCAGCTCATTAGGCCCGTTGATCTTGTTGACAATTCCACGAGCAATTTCAAGGAGAAAAAACAAGTCCTTCTACACAACCTTTTAATCTCCATGAAGGACAATGAGACGGGGAATTATCACCCTTGAAATGTACAGAACATAATTTGACTTGCTACAGCACACACCATGTGGGGAACCCCCTTTAGACCATCCCGCCCCCGCCCCCGCCCCCCCCCCCCCCCACATAACATTAAATAACTTTTTATGATAAAACCCTAGGGGTTTGGCTACAATGGGCCACCATCTTTGGATAACGCTATCTGTAATACTCCTACAGAGATTCGATCCCAGGTTCCTTGTCTTAAATTCTGCACACGGAAAAGAATGAAGTGACTCCATGTTGTAACTTTAACAGAATATATTTTGCTAAACTAAAAGTTACATGATACAAGTATCACTTCTCTCTCCTCCTCTCTCCACATTATACACTCACTTCTCTATATATTCTCTCCCCTCTAGATTTAAGTTTACAGATTTTTATACCAAACTTTATCAACTAAATTGTCAATCACATAACTTAAAAACTGATTGGTTACTTCATACACAAGTCCACCCACTCCTGGTGGGCACTCCTAATAACACCCTGTAATCAAAGTCTAGCAGATTACTAGCTTTGAAACAAAGGACATTAAAATTTGAACTGCAAGGTGTGAAGTATTATCTGAAGCTACTTATACAACTTGGCTTCCCATGTATGAATTTTATCAAACAATGGCTTCCTCTGATTGAGTTAATACAACATCATGAATGAGTTTTAAAAGTACTAATTACACTTTTTTCTATACTGTGGTTCCTGACAACCAGTGATTAGAATGGAACATGCACGTGTTCCTCACAGCTTTGTTACAAAGCGTATACAACTGTATTTAGTTGTGTTTGGTTGTCATTGCTACAGCCTTCTATATCAAAGGTTTTGCGACATAAAAGTTATCATAATGCTTTCAACTTTCGACATATTCATAATTTAAGCAAAGAGTGTAGCTATCGTTCATCTACCCTTGTTGATGTTACTATTTCTTTTTCGGATTTACGTTTACCTTCCACAAATGGACAAAACGTAGATTTTTATAGTGGGAGCTATTCTTTTTATTCTTTTTTCTAGATAACAGTTACTATTTCCAAGGACGACAATTCTGCATCATTGGTAAATATCAGTAGATTTGGTGTTCTGGCTCATCCGGTAGAGTGATCAATATCACATATGAAAAAAAACAAAAACAAATATAATACTGGGCTTACGAAGATGCGTTATCAACGATGTCCAGTATTAGGCGTTTTATTTTTTTTTATTGTCCAAAAAGTGTAGTTTTATGCGTTATGTTAATACAAGTTACGCAATGTTTCCTTCAGCTAAAGCCAAATCGACTAATAATTTGTCTCTATCGATGGCCCCAGGAAAGTCCATTCATTGTTTTCATTTATCTTTACAATCACTGCTGAGCGGCAATAATATGACACGCACTGTAAACGTGATAGTAACTGCACTTATGTATATAATAACCCCGTTCATAGACGATATACGGAATTTAAAAGATACTGGCCGGTGGTACTTAACTGTTTATTTTTTATATTGGAATCAAATCTCTCGTGAATCCAAATGTATGCATCCAAAGTGTTTATAAAAAGATAAGAAATAGAAAAATCAAGGCTTTTAGATTTGGCGACAAGTGATGTTGTAGCGTTCACGTTTATCATCCTCAAAAGCATTAAAGCATAAAAAATGTCAACCTTGAAACACCTTTCTTGCATTTTTCATAATCCAGCAGAAAGGACAGGTAACAGTCATCTCCATGGACCAGGGGGTGGCATCCGCATGGAACGCAGGCTTAGTAGCAGGGTGGGGCAGTAAAGTGTAGGAACATTGTTTGCAGTATGTGGACAGTTCTTCGTTTGTTTTCTTAAACATTTTTACCTCTTCAAAAAAGTCTTTGCCTTGTGCCTGCACTTGCTGGACAAATCTTTGCTGGAAATAATCATACAGTTTATAGTTCAATGAACTCCAGTTTCTGTGCATTTCCAAGAGTTCATTGTCGATTAAATGGTCGTATGAATACTGTGATGTCAGTCTACTTTCGTATACTATGTCTTGAAAATCCCAGCAAAGCATTCGCTTCATTAAAACTAAACTTTCGTCAAAATATTCCACTAAAATTACGATATCAAACATATTTACTACTCGTTCCATAAACTCTTGAATTGCTATCTCATTATCAGAATCTTCTTCGCGAAATCCAAATTCATTGGCAATGTTGTTTCGTTTCAATCCAGGTGGCAGTTGCTGCACAGTTTTCAATATTTGATATCTTGTCATGAATTCTTTTAGAAAATTATTTGACTGCAACTGGGACTGGATCTTGCCTCTGTGATAATGCAAAGATGAGACATATTGTGCCAGAGGATTTCGGATGAAACCAACAGAAATGACGTCACTGTCCATCATTTTACGCAACAACTCGTCATTCTGGTAACCAAACTGGGTAATGACGTCATATTTGAACAAATGGTCCCCATTCTGATCTAGCGAACGAACAACGCTAGGCGTCGCAACACTTAAATCGTGTAAGAAGGCAAAGGTAAGAATTATGTTGCCGACGGTGGTGGAGGCGCACCTGTGTACTTTTGTGACTTTTACGTGAGTCTTTGGATAGCACTGGTATACTTTATGGATGCCTATGGGTCGTTTCAAAGTTTCTAAGGCCTCTAATCCCTCAACAGGGAGCATGGACTTTGCTTCAACGTTTCTGAAAAAAAAAGGGGGAACTGTATGATGATTGCGATAAGCATAATTATAAAATGAACAAGGAATACATTTCGGGGTCAAAACAAATCGAGCCCTTTAAGATGAGGACCAAACCCTCTAAAGTATTGAACGTCTTCTTCCCAACACACGCACGCACACACACACATTCATGTGCACATACACACTCACTCAAGCACGCACACACGCAGGAACGCACACACGCAAATTAAAACTAAAGAAAAGATGGGAACGGCATTTTCTCAGGCATTATTACTTGCAATAATAAGGCTAGCACTACATCATAGCCTCTATTACAATATAAGGTCTCTCAAATTTCAAGAAAATTGTTGGGCTTAAACTTTAATATTGGTCGCTTTGCATAAAAGTTCCCGCTGCACTGGAAGCACACTTGCATACATCGCACAAATAGTTTAACACTCAAATACTCCTCTTTGTGGATCACCATACAGTACACGTCAAATGACACAAAAAGGAGTGCCAACGCATGAATTTTCAAGGACTAGGATTGAGCGTGCATCAAATAATAACCAAAAGACATAAGAAGAACGCTGGCGTTTGAAAAGTGATAATTTAAAGAAAAATAAGTACAAATTAAATCTTTGTAACACTTGTAAAACGTAAAATTGGATGTTTAGCATTACCCTTTGTTCTCATCTACTGATTGGCCGAAGGTGTCGACTCTCTGAAAACTACCCTGACCTTCACCTTGGGCTAAAGTGTCAATGGCGGAACCAAACCCTTCGTTTCCTGTGTTTTGTAGGAGGTTGGGTAGTAAAGCATCACTTAAGCCTGGACTTTGTCCGCTCTGGTCCTGCGCCGGTTGTTTATCTTGCATAAAAAAACTCATATCGGTAAAATTTACAATGGGCATACCCCCCTCATCCTGTGGCTGATTCAGCATCTGAGAATTTTCTATTAAATTGACTGTTTTAGCAATGTTATTGACATTTTCAGCACTGGTGTGTTTCATGTAAAATTCCCTGTAAGTGGCAAAGAGTTGGTAAGTTACGATAATCCCATACACAGCTACGGCCATGGTCACTCCTAACACCAGTTTTTGTATTGAGAGACGTCTCTCCATATTGTATTTCTGGTGGCACAAGATTCGTCGACTTGGATGCTTCTCATTTAGTATTCTCTAACTGCATACCAATTAATGTTGTAATATTTGTTGCAAATATATGTCAATAGCATCTCTGATGAATACATGTAGCCATGTTTGCCAAGTGTCCACAATTACTATACATCAGTGTCACATCAGTGAAACGCAAATGTTAAGCATGTTATACATTATTTATGCTTGCTTACATCGTACAATATCACTTATCTATATGTGCCGTGTGGTGTGCGAATACTTAACCATGCGATTTTAAAGCTAGTGTTGGCGTAGACAACATAATATTTTATTCATTTTCGCATGGTCTATTTTCGGAGACAGCAACATTTCATAAGTCTGTCGCGGAATTAAAAAATTCGGATCAGCATCAGTTCTACTTAGCATTATCTTTTTCTGCCATGGTTACCCACAATAATTCATATATGTGCGCCTGTTTCACGTGGTTGGTGAATTTGAGCGCTCTTGGCCGGAGGTCTTTCAATTCACAACTATATATATATATATTATTAAATCTTTTTCAGATACAGTTTTACTCGGAAGAAATTAAGGATGGCTAAACCTAAAGCAATAATCAAGGATATAATTACTATAAATCATGGTTATTTAGAAGAAAATCTCAACTAGGTCATAAATATATACATGTAGATTTGATTAATTTTTAATACAAAGCATGGTATATATTTACGTAAATAACAAACGAAAATACATGTATAATTTGTATTTTATAATACGTCTTTGATCATTATGTATAAAAGGACGTTGTAGTATTTTTAATCAGAATGCTATCGGTAACAGGCAAATAATAACAAATATGTTTATTATATTGAAAATGGCCATTTGATTTTTTACCATATGGTCAGACCAAAAGTTTAGGATATGTTTACCGGGTGGTTGGTATGTAGTACGTAATCTTTCAATTCTTAATCGATTTCATATAAAACAGTAAGTTAAAGCCAAGAAAAGAGCTAATTAGCAGTTCATCCTGTGAAATTTGAAAACAACACAAATAGTGACCGTGCATTTGGCTTGAAAGACATCAATTCAAGAAAACGTAATTTATTTTACTTCCATATTTACCAATTTTTTTCTTAATATTCCAAATATATAGGTCATATCTTAAATGCATTGCAAGACAATTAAATGCTGAGCTTTTGTATTAAGGGCATAGAAAGCAAGACAGCAGTTTACTTTCATACAACCATTCGTATCAACATATTCATATCAGTCACCAGGGTCTTAAATAAGCATATCATACATTCCCTGTACTGTTCGTTAAACCCAATAAGCAATATAATCTCAGTAAGCGTCCCTCTCATATCTCACAGATAATTGATTTTTTTAAACGTATATGTGCTGCAGTTAACAAAAATTGACTCGCTTTAAAATCAACTCCTCAAATGGCATCTTTCTCCTTCTTCAGTCTCTCAAATTCATCTGTTAAAGCATGAAATTTTTGCAAGACATCGGCGTTGGACAAAGCCTCTTGCTGCCTGGCGGCAAATGCTTCATTGATAGAACTGTCATCAACTGGAGCAGCCTCCTGGGGTTGTGCTTCTGGTTTCTGCAGAGGTTGAGCGGCTAAAGCTTCATTTAAGGGAGAACCTTCACTGGGTGTTTGCTGCGTTGCTTCTGTTGTCTCTGACTCCGGTCGTGCGTCTAATGGCATGTCATTTTGAGAATTGTCTACTCTGAGAACATTTTCGTTTGGATCAACAACTTTTTCTGCACCTTCACTGGAATCTGTAGTCTTTTGTTGTAGCTGTGCGTCTAAAACTGCATTCTGAGGACGATCTAAACTAGGGACTTCTACGTTTTGGTTTGTTTTGATAGTTTCAGATTCTCCTTCGACACCAGGCGCATCTTCTGCGTCCTTATCTTCATCTTCTTCATCAGAAGTATCCGGAGAAGATTTTTCTTGATCTTGAGCTCCATTATTCGGGACGATTGGATCTGACCCTACAGTTGTTGTTTCGGACGCAGGCAAAGAACTCTCTGTAGAGAATAGCATAGAGGAGAACGAGCTGCCCATAGTGGACGAGGAGGCCGCAGTGACGTCACGCATCGCGTGCTGCCCATTGGAGACGACTCTATCCTTCAACGTGCCGACAGCCATCTTGGAATTGAGGGCCTCGATATGTTGGCGTAGCACAAGTATGTCCAAGGCAGTCTTCGCCGTTAAAATAAGGACAATGACGAGACCAAAACAAACCGCCAGGCGAAATAATTTGAGTTTGTGTATCCATAGGTATTTAGAGCCGTATTTCTGTGCTTCAACGTCCATTATAGAGGGATTCATCACAAAACATACACAACCAGCTAAGCTAAATGATGATTATTTGACTTTCAACAGATGTTGGCTTTGTTATAAATTCATGAGTATATTTCTGCTGGTAATATTTTAGTACAGCAACGATACCGTAATGGGCCCACAGCTCAATTTATTATTGAATACATATGAACGTATCCATTCGTTGGCTTAGTTCAGTTAATTGAATATTTTGTTTTAAGACACCTATTGATATGGATAGTCATTTTGGAAGTTTTTCAAACAAATTTTAAATGCCTCCAATTCTTCTTGAAAGTCGGGACCTTGAGCTTTCATCAATTTTTCAAATTTTTGCCGAAAATGTGAATATAAAAAATAGTCCCCCAAACTCCACTGCATGTGGAGTCTCCTTAATTCAGGGTCATCAACATGTTTATATGTGTAGTTTAAGACATTTCTGGAAGCAAATAAAATATCATCCATGTCCCAGCACAGAAGTCGTCTGAGTAATATTAAGCTTTCGTCCATGAATTCAGATATCATGATGAAGTCAAATTTTTTATCTATATATGCAATAAATTGTTTTATAAACGTAATATTGTTTCTTAAAGTGTCGTCTTCATCCGGAAACCCAAAATGAAAAAGCATACTGTTTCTAACAAAAGCAGACGCTGGTTTGGTGCCACCTCGATAATACTTCTGCGGGTTTCTCAAAAATTCTCGCATGGGGTCCGCGTTAAATATGTTGTACTTTTTATCAAAATGGAAAGCATTAAAAACTGACTTAAACTGCGAAAACGGCTCTCGTAATATCGTTGTGTAGAAGGTATCGGCGTGCATCACTCTCTTCAGGACCTCTTCGTCGTACACCATATGATGTAGAATCATATCAAACTTGTCTTCAGTCCCATTCAGGGGAACGGTGTTGATGAATTCCATCTTAATCTTTGGGGGCCGAGGAATCTTGGAAGCGTCCACAGGACCCCAAAAATGATATCCATATTTAGGTTCAGCTACACGTAAATCATAAAATCTGCGGTACCTGTTGAAGATCTGTACTATTGTCGTTGAGCCACATTTATGATTCTTCAGATAAGCTACGTGTTGCCGTGGCTTGCAAGTGGTTTCAACAGCACCAAGCAGAGGATAGTAGTTCATTAACCATTCTTTGGGGCAGTATTCATACCTGAAATTTTGTAAATTATTTTCATATGACACCCTTGAAATAAAAGATACTGAGCCTACACATTGGTTATGTACAAGCACTTTAAGTTAGAGAGGTGTCACGGTGTGCAATCAGTAGACCAACAATAGCGTCTATCCTTTACTGATATTAAGACACCGGCTTCCTCCTACACGTGATCAAAACGCTTTTAAATGTCACATTCATGTTTATAATAATAATTGATAGAGAACACGAAAACTTGTTTCAGCCATTTACCTTGTTTTCACCGATTTGGCCTGGAAATTGTAACCCGAGAAAATAAAGTTTTCTAATCCGAATGGTAGAATGACCAGCCACAGCACCACAAAGAAGACATAAAGGCACAATAAGCTCAGGAAGGAACGCCCCCGCACGTGGATCACCACCGTCCAAAAAATGGCTGCCAGCTTGGACCGGTGTCGCCCAATAGCGGCCATCTTGACATCAGAGACAGAGCTTGCTGGTTAAAAGTTAATTGTGTTATTTTCCATCTTGTCTTCTCGGCACGAAATCTTTCCAATATCTACAAGTACCTTAATCACGTGCATATAAAAACTATACTTTAATATAAAATTGTCGACGCCAGGCTTAAAACTATATGAATAACCAAAGACAACCGTTACCTTCCACTGGTGTAGATCAAATATGTATGACACCAAGTCTGCCCTCAATGGAAGTCTGGCTAAGGCTTTTGTTGCATTCTCTTTTCCTTAAATCTTAGAGAACACTTCGCCGTTAGTTTTTCTTATGTGTATCTATAACAGCTGAGGTTGATGCAAAATTCAAGTGTGGCAAATGCAGAAATTTTCAAAACAAGAGCAATATATAAAATAAATGAGTAAATCTTAATCTAACATTTTTAAAAACTGCAGTAAAAGTGCTTATATTATTAAAAGGCAATGTTCTAAATATTTTTTCACAGATATCAAAGCAAACAAAATGTCAAATCGTTTACAAATAATATCAGTGTTTAATGCCTGGCCATATGCAAATCACGATCAGTGAAAGTACCGTTGCCAAGGTTACTGTCACCATGGAATCCACATTTTGTTCATTTATTCATGTGCAGCTGTTCCTAATATGGTGCTCCAAACAACTGTAACACTATCATGTTAACCTGCCACGTACAAGAGTTACAGCTATATCTCACTGTTCTGGCTCTAGATTGGTCAAGAGTTGGTGCCCGGGGTCTCTAAATGCTGTAACCATCACCGAGGGTGGCAGTGTAGTGCCGACATTTACACGACACGTCACTTTGATTAATAAATAAATAATCAGTAGAAGAATAGGCAGGTTCTCGCTGTTTGGGCGCAGTTCGCGGAGAAGGGAACGATTTCGGACACTAATGATCAGAAGAGCCATGAGGCTGCCAGGCCCGGCAACTCTGCACCAGCGGCCGGCGGCCATGATGATGTTCGCCGTGGTCATCGTCTATTTTCTAGTCTGGGTTGCCTTGACAACGTCTGGGGACGAGGTTTACACGTTCCGTATGAGTGAACGCCATGATAGCGATGAGGTGCACAGGTAAGCGGCTAAATATTAAAATTTGGTTGGGTGACCGCGTATCTTTTTTTATTACATGTAAAAAATATTGACCAACATTCCCCCCCCCCAAAAAAAAAATAAATAAAAAATAAAAAATAAAATAAAATAAAAATAAAAATAAAATAAAATAAAATAAAAATAAGACACTGAATAAACATTCAAGTGGGTCGGCCATGCTGTAAGTCCACTGTTATGAATACGCTCTTAATGGCTAAAACTAGATTATCTTTCGCGAACAAATCTAACCAGTAACTGGTACAATTTCTGTCGTGAGGGATTATTTCATAAGATATATAGAGAGAGATCCAGGTAGGAATCCGTACATTTGTAGTAGGATAATATTTCTTGGATACTTTTCAACAAAAGGAGAAGAGCGTTGCTTTTGTCTGCGTGTGGACCAAGCATTTAAACGAATACGTCTGAGATGTTAAGATTCTATATCATATACTTTAGACTATTATATGACCCTGGTAATATTCTATTACAACATAAATGGTATTAAACGATAAAGGCCACAACGCCTTGATATATTTCAACATTACGCTGCATACACATTGTAGATTAGTACAGACAGTTTAAATATAGATAGCTTAAATATAAATAAATTATTTAATTAAGCTTCATGTTTGCCTAAGAGATATTGCTCTTCGCTTCAGTTCGACGATGTTCGTGCCCACTGTGGAAGTGGACTTTCCAGACGGGACAACAAAGATGACGATGGACTTTGAGTCCACCCCCTCCACTATCTTTACTACCCTCAGCATCCCTAGTACGACGTCATTGCCCCCAGATGTCCGCTTTTTGGATAACTACATTGAAGATGGTAGGGAGTTACCATTTCGCCGCAGAGGGTGTCTGAATATTGTCGTGCAATCCTCTTTGCTGCTCATAGTCACGAACGCACACACACATATGCATGCACGCGCCCACACACCCATTTACATTAAGAAATTATAATACATGCAGAACTGGGCCCCGTAACTCGAAAGCATAGCGCATTGCGACCAAGCGCAACCATCTCGATTCCATAACTCGCCCATACTCGACCCATATAATACATTGTAGCCTCTATGTGATATCGCTATTCGCAATACGCGATGCTTTCGAGTCACGGGGCCCTGGGTACATCAGTAATTATATATTATGGTAATTTAAATTCTGCCATGTAAATATTATTTTGAAAGCACCCCTTGCCTGATAGTGTGGCTAAAACATGTGGCTTCTAATGCAAGCGTTATCAGTGCAAATCGTATAATCTAATATTTCTTATCAGACTTTTTGAAAAGTTCTTTTATTCCTCGCCTTAGTTTGCGTTTGTTTATAGTTACTAAGAGTAAATTAATTTTATTGTTTACAGAACCTAACACCAGTCCATATACCTTTTTTACCACGTTATCTACTCCAGCAGTTAACATCGTAAATCAACCCAACTTACCAAATGTTGAAACCTTACCTGGAAAAGAAGAACCTTTAGTTATACCGGTGGAACAACCAGCGCCGAAACCTGAAAGTCCAAAATTACCGCCTGAAAACACAGCAGCCAATCAAAACGCCAGTAAACCTAAAGGAGAATCTAACCAATTGAAAGGACCGGTGCCACAAATAGCGCCAAAAGTCGGTGTAGCACAACCCCCTCAGGTAGGCCAAGAACGTGACAGTTTAGATATCCCCCAGCCAAAACAACAATCACAAGTGCAGCAACAACAACAACAACAACAGCCTGTGCTTAAACAAAAAGCACCTGTCATTATAAACCCTGATCAAAAGAAATCTGTAGATACTGCACAAGCCGACAGCAGCCAACCAAACGAGGAGTCAAAGCCGAATACACAACATATCATACGCAGCGCCTCTGGCGGCGGGGTCATGCAGTTCGGGTACCTACCAGATGATAATAACACCAAGTCAGGACCAGCGACCAATGTGCAGGCAAGGACCACCGTTTTGCGAAGCATATATAATTTAACAAAAGCTGTCATGTCCAGATCCAGGGTTCCGGTCATGGACAAACCCAAACCTAACTGTACTGTGTACAAGCATGTTGTTTATGTTAAAATTTCTGAAACGGGGTCGACCATGTTCTTTGACGTCATGCGACGATTTGCCCTCAAATATTCTTTGGCCCGAGCACTGCCAAGGTTCCGTATGCATTTTTATGGGGACGAAAACGTAGCTTTAATACCAAGACCTGCCAAAATTAAACAAAGATTTGTTCGAATTGATCGACCGCAGCAGAGATTTGACGTCATGTACCACCACATGGTTTTCGACGGTGACATCGTAAGCCGAGTTATGCCACGTGACACCTTCTACGTCACAATGTTGAGATACCCTTGGGCTCAATTCAAATCAGTTTTGAATAAGTACAACTTGCTGCAAAAATACGCCCCAGGAAATGACACAGCCATAGAACTTGAGCAATTTCTTGAAAATCCGTACAAATACTGGCGCAATGGTTCAGTCCGAACCTCTGCCTTTTCGCGCAACGGCATGATGATGGAGTTGGGGTTTCCAGACGAGACAGAAGACGTCCGGAATGACGATCTGGTTATCCAAGCTTACATCAAATACTTGGAGCAGAGGTTTGG